GAGATCGCGCCCCAGCACTCCACGCCGGGGAAAAAAAGGTAAAACCCCGCCAAAAAAAAAAAAAAAAAAAAAAAAAGCACGGGGATAGATGGGTGATGTCTCTATTGTCAACCAAATCAGTGGCCTGTCATAACCTATTGTGGGCAACTTTCCTGTAGCTAAGCATTTAACTGGTTTCTTATAGGAGAAACAGGACCCTAGTAGCTAGACACATCTCAAACCGTGACCCATGAACCAGCAGGTATTGGTGTCACTTGGGATCCTGACTTCAATCTCTGCCAGTCCTTCTCTTTAGTTCATCCATTCTATTCAAAGTGATCTCATCATCTGGTATGCTGTTAGCAGTTTCTTACCTGTATAGTATCTTCCAAATAACATGCCCCCCAATCCCAAAGTTTTACCCCTCCTAATTACAGCAATGTCTCTTTTATTCTTCACCTCTTGGTGCAGATATTGGCATCACCTGGGAGCATGTTACCAATGCAGAATCTCCCCTCCCCAGAACTACTGAACAGCAATTGAAATTTTAACAAGATCCCCATGTGATTCACATGCACATCAAAGTTTGAGAAACACTACTCTAATGATCTCCTGGTATGCTGAGGCAGGGAGAATTTCAGTGGCAAGATTCTTAATAGAATCACGGCTTTTCCCATTTCAGGAGAACGCTTGCTCACGGTGGAAGACCGTCAAGAAGATGGTTCAGTACTTCTGACTTGTAAAGTGCAAGACAAAAATGTCACATGGTTTAAAGATGGGAAGATAATAAGCTTCCTACCTGCAAGTCAAAAATCATGGAATCTGGGAAGTAATACCAAGGACCCTCGAGGGATGTATCAATGTAAAGGATCAAAGGACAAGTCAAAACCACTGCAACTGTATTATAGAAGTATGTAATCCCCTTTTATTTATTAGTTGTGAAATTAATCAGTATTTGCTGTTATGGTGGACTTTTTGTCTTGGAAGAAGGTGGAAATAGATGCTCAACAGAGATGTTATCAGCAGTTCTCTTAATTTCAGCTTGCCTCTTTTAAAATATAAGATAGTTCCCTCACCCCATTGAAAACGTACAGCCAGTCCTGTAAAGCTTTGTTTACCTTTGGGTGGGATCCATAGATTCAAGCAATTCAGCACCTTCTATAAACTGAGTGGAAGGGATTGGGGAGACAGGGCAATCACAAGGTGAGCAGCAGTGAGGACTGGAGCACAGTGGAGCATGAAGAGCATCGGGTCTTCCTTCTGTTCCACATACCTCCTGGTAGTTAGACTACATGGGCTTCCCCAGGAATCCTGTGGGACTGAGGAACATCAAGATGCATTGAGTTTTGGTGCAAGGATCTTCCCTTGCCCTGCCACCCACAGAGGAAAAGCCAGCTACCCTCCACAGGGGCATTATTGCTTATAGGCAGAAGAAAAAGATACAGGAAGAACAACTTTCACACCCTGAAGGTTTGTCCCTCCTTTTCCCCACAGTGTGTCAGAACTGCATTGAACTAAATGCAGCCACCATATCTGGCTTTGTCTTTGCTGAAATCGTCAGCATTTTCTTCCTTGCTGTTGGGGTCTACTTCATTGCTGGACAGGATGGAGTTCGCCAGTCAAGAGGTAAAAGAATGCTCTTAGATGAGCAATGGGACCGCCTGAGACCCTCAGCTTTCCTCCTACCATTACATACGCAATAGAAGAGACTGAGTTGGCACCTCTTGCTAATGTGCATAGTTGGGTGAGGCTGTATTTCTCTGAGACAGGAGAAAAGGATACTTGGTGTTATCACAGCATGTTCACCTATCTCAAGATACATCTCTCTCTGATTTAGCCTCTGTTTTTTTTTTAAAAAAAAACTCTTCATTTTAAGCAAACCCTTACATACAGAAAAGTGACTCACAAGCATACAGCTCAAAAAAAAAATTTCACAAAGAAAACACACCCATGCAGCCAGCACACAATTTAAGAAAGAGAATATTCCCAGTGCCATCGAAGAGCCTCCTGTGGTCACTTCCCCCACTACCCATCCTCAAGAGTGAGCATTGTCCTGACTTCTAACAAGGATTAACTTTGCTTGTTTTTGTTCTTTATGTACATGGACTCATATGCTAAGTGTTCTTGTGGGTAGCTTCTTTCACTCAACAATATGCTTATGTGCTTTATCCATACACCTGTGTTTATATAATTCTTATTGTTATTTAGTATTCTGTTTTGTGAATATAACCCAATTTATTATGCATTCTACCTTGTGTGTGTATTTTGTTTCTTTTTGTGCAGCTTCAGACAAACAGACTCTGTTGCCCAATGACCAGCTCTACCAGGTAAGGGGATGAAGAACAAAAGAGACATTGCTGTAATTACTGGGGTAAAACTTTGGGACTGGGGGGCATATTATTTGGAAGATACTATACAGGTAAGAAACAGCTAACAGCATACCAGATGATGAGATCACTTTGGGTAGACCAGGTGAACTAAAAAGAAGGATTGAGAGAAACTGAAGTTAGGATCCAGTGAGCACAAGTTGAAGAACACACTGAGTAGGACATGCAAAGAAACTCTCAACAGGCCAGCCATGTACTATAGACAGGCTGTGGTTCATGCCTTTAATCCCAGCACTTTGGGAAGTCGAAACAGGCAGATCATCTGAGGTCAGGAGTTCAAGACAAGCCTGGCCAACATGATGAAATTCTGTCTCTACTAAAAATATCAAAAAAAAAAAAAACTTAACCAGGCACGGTAGCACATGCCTATAGTCCCAGCTACTCAGGAAGCTAAGGCAGGAGGACCACTTGAATCCAGGAGGTCGAGGTTGCAGTGAGCCAAGATCACACCACTGCACACCAGCCTGGGAAACAGAGCAAAAAAAAAAAGGAAAAGAAATAAGACAGAGCCTCCATCTCCTTGTCCTCTTTGCATCCTCAGGACTATGAAGTACCCACTCCAAATTCTCACATATAAAAAACATTCAATAAATATACACCAAATTAATTAATAGAGGATGGAAAAAATGACCTTATGACTGTGCTGTCCTTTCCAGCCCCTCAAGGATCGAGAAGATGACCAGTACAGCCACCTTCAAGGAAACCAACTGAGGAGGAATTGAGCTCAGGACTCAGAGTGGGTGGGTTCTTCAGCTGCCCTCCCAGCTGCTATCAAGTCTATCTCCCTTCCCCAAGCAGCTATAAAGATCAGACTCTGGGGGATCAGGGATTGCAGGGTGTTTTGGGAGGCTCTTTTGTAAAAACTCTGGGGCCATACTGATTGCCTTGGCCTAGGAAAATAAGAATTTTGTGTATCTGTAAGTCCTGTCAGAGCAGGGCCTCAAGCCATACAGATGCTGAATATTAATCTTAACCTGTATTAGAATTTCTCATTATCTACACTGTTAACATTTTGGGCTAATTAAATATTTGTGATGAGGGGCTAGTGTGTGCATTGTAGGAGTTATGGAAGCATTCCTGGCCTCTCTCCACCACATGCCATTAGATTGTCCAATGTGACAATCAAAAATGTGTCCATCAAAAATGTGTCCAGACATTACTAAATGTATCCAAACATCACCTCCAGGGCAAAATCACCCTTAGTTAAGAACCACTAGCTTATATTAACCTTCCAATTAACAAATTAATCAGTCAGAAGTTATGATTCAATTAATCTATCTGAAGATTCTATTAGGAAGACAGGGTTAAAAGCATTATTTGGTTTTTTGAACCAATTGCAATTTTTCTTTTTTCAATCCAGGTGTTCTTCTATCCAGTTCTCAGAATGAAAGCAATACATTTTGGAAAGCTCCAAGCAGAGAGACTTTCAACCCTAAATCTAGACTCAAGATTCCCAGAGGTGACAAATGGAGAAGAAAGGCCATCAGAGCAAATTTGGGGTATTCACAAATAAAATAAAAATAAAAACAAGTATGGTGTTTCAGAAGCGCCACCTATTGGGGAAAATTGTAAAAGAAAAATGAAAAGATCAAGTAACCCCCTCAATTTGAATGTAGTTTTTTGCGTTGTAATTTTTATTTCATTTTTGTATAGGTCATAATTAACATGGTTCAAATATGCAGTGAAAGATCTCTCTCAACTGCCATCCCCTGCGACCCAGTTGCCCTCTGCAGAGACAAACTAGTTTCTATTATTTTATTTTTTTTGAGACGGAATTTCGCTCTGTCGCCCAGGCTAGAGTGCAGTGGTGCAATCTCTGCTCACTGAACCTGGGTTCAAGCGATTCTCCTGCCTCAGCTTCCCCAGTAAGTAGCTGAGATTGCAGGCGTATACCACCAGGCCCGGCTAAGCTTGTTTCGAACTCCTGACCTCAGGTGATCCACCCACCTCTACCTCCCAAAGTGCTGGGATTACAGGTGTTGAGCTACCATGCCTGGCCTTAAAACTAGTTTCTTATATATCACTCTGGAGGTATTCTAGGCATATATGAGCACATTTTCAAGTACATATTATCCTCCCTCCCCCTATCTTTTAGACAAATGATATCAAACTATACATCTTATGAGATTATTGCATATCATTATATAAAGAACTTCTTTTTTAATGCAGCCATACTGCAGAAGTAGACTATGATTCATTTAACCTGCTATCTATCAATAGATATTTAAGTTGGTTCCAATCTTTTGCTCTTACAATTCTGCAATGACTAACATTGTATAAATATCATTTTTAAAAAATAATTGCATTGAAGCATAATTTACATGCCATAAAATCCACCCATCTTAAGTGATTTCACCTGTTCTCAAAAATTTTTAGTAAATTTAACTAGTTGTACAACCATCACCATGATCCGGCTTTAGGGCTTTTTTTTTTTTTCTTATGGAGTCTTGCTCTGTGGCCCAGGCTAGAGTGCAGTGGTGTGATCTCAACTCATTGCAACTTCCACCTCTTGGGTTCAAGTGATTATCCTACCCTCCCGAGTAGCTGAGACCTCAGGCATGTGCCACCATGCCCTGCTCATTGTTTTGTGTATTTAGTAAAGACAGAGTTTTACCGTGTTGGCCAGGCTGGTCCCAAATTCCTGACTTCAAATGATCCACCTGCCTCATCCTCCCAAAGTGCTGAGATTACAGGTGTGAGCTACCGCACCCAGCCCAAAACTGTATTTGAATATACTTATTCTGTGGGTTTAATATGGTATTTTATTTCGGCCTTAATTTGCTTTCCCTAGAGACTAACTATGCTAAGTGTCTTTTCATATGTTTGTTAACCATTCATATCTTTTTAGTGAAATGTCTCTTCAAATATTTTGCCCATTTTCAAGTTGGTTTATTTGTTTGTCTTCTTACTATTGGGTTGCATATTTTTTTTTCTATAAGTCCTTTATCAGATATATGATTTGGAAATATTTTCTATCAATCTGTGGTTTGTTTTTCTTAATGGCGTCTTTTGAAGTGCAAAAGGTTTTAATTTTGAAGTACCTTTTATTGATTTTTTTCTCCTATATATTGTGCTTTTGGTATCATGTCTAAGAAATCTTTACCAAACCCACAGTTACAAAGATTTTCTCCCATGTCTTCTTTCTGTAGTTTTTAGTTTTATGGTTTTAGCGCTAACAATAAATATCATTTTGAACATACATAAGACTATTTGTAACAAATACAAATAAATGGAATTGTTGGGCACTTGAATTTGCATTTGTAATTTTATTAACTATTGCCAAATTTAACTTTATAGAGGTTGTAAACACACATGCACAAGAATATATATATATATATATATACACACACACACACACACACACATATATTTGAGACAGGGTCTTGCTCTGTGGTGCAGGCTGGAGTGTAGTGGCATGACATTGGCTCACTGCAGCCTCAACCACCCAGTCTCAAGCAATCCTCCCACCTCGGCCTCCTGAGTAGCTGAGACTTCATGCGTGTGCCACTATATCCAGCTAATTGTTTAATTTTATTTTTATAGAGACAGGGTCTCATTATGCTGCCCAGACCAGTCTCAAAGTTAGTCTCAAACTCTTGGGGTCAAGTGATCCCCCCACCTCATCCTCCCAAAGTGCTGGGATTAAAGGCGTGAGTCACTGTGCCCAGCCAGGTTGTACCAATATATATTACCAATGACAATAAACAAAAATGCCTGTTACTCCATACATATTCCAACAGTGTATTATTAAACTTTTGAATCATGCCAACCTGAATCGCATCTCACTATAATTTTAGTTTACATTTTTCTTATTAAAAAGTGTTGGCTGGGCACGGTGGCCCACACCTGTAATCCTAGCACTTTGGGAGGCCAAGGCAGGAGATTTACCTGAGGCCAGGAGTTCAAGACCAGCCTAACCAACATGGCAAAACCCCATCTCTACTAAAAATACAAAAAATTAGCCAGGCATGGTGGTGGGTGCCTGTAATCTCAGTTACCCAGGAGGCTGAGGCAGGAGAATTGCTTGAACTTGGGAGATGGAGGCTGCAGTGAGCTGAAATTACAACATCGCACTCTAGCCTGAACAACAAGAGCAAAACTCTGTCTTAAAAAAACAAAAAGAAAAAAAAATGGAGTAAGCTGTTTGTTTTTCCTTCCCATGATATATAAGTTCACATCTTTGGTCTTTTTCTTATTGACTTACACTAACCCATTACATGTTTGGGAAACTAGATTTTTTGTGATATTAGTTGTAAGCCTTTTTCCAATTTTATGTGTCTTTTTTTTTTTTTTTTTTTACTTTGCTGATGGTTAATTTTCCACGCATATTTTACTAAATATTTGCATATAGTAGAATTCACTGGTCTCTTATGGTCTCTAGGTTATGTTTCATATTTAAAAAGTCTTCCTCCATTTCCTCCATTTTAAGATTATCCTTTTTAAAAAGTTCCTCCATGAATTCCTCTAGCATTTTTATGGTTTTATTTTATGCATTTATATCTTTGACCCATCTTGAATTGATTTTAACATCAGATCTAATGTAGCAACCAATTTTAAATACAGATAGTTACCCAGTTATTCCAGAAATATTATTGAATGATTCGTCCTGTGTTCAATAATTTTAAATGCTGTTACAACCCCACTCACCAGATTATAAACTCCAGGAAGGAAAAGACTTAATGGTTTTTCACTATGGTATCATTAGGAACTAGAACAGTGGTAGGCACACGAAGATTGCCCAGGGCTTTCATAGATATAACCTAAAATTTATGATTTTAAACTTTTTTTTAAAAAAAGACAAAGTCTCACTCTGTCATCCAGGCTGGAGTGCAGAGGCACAATCTCAGCTCACTGCAACCTCTGCCTCCCAGGTTCAAGGGATTCTCCTGCGTCAGCCTCCCAAGTAGCTGAGATTACAGGCGCACATCAACACGCCCAGCTAATTTTTGTATTTTCACAAGAGACAGGTTTCCACCCTGTTGGCCAGGCTGATCTCAAACTCCTGACCTCAAGTGACCTGCCCACCTCTGCTTCCCAAAGTTCTGGAATTACAGGCGTCAGCCACTGCACCCTACCCCATTTTAACCATTTTAAAGTGTACCATTCAATGGCATTAAATATATTCACAATGTGTAGCCATCATCAATATCCATTTTCAGACTTTTTCATCATCCTAAACAGAAACTCAGTACCCATTAGATAATAACTCCCATTCCCCTCTCTCTCCAATCCGTGGTGACCTCTATTATACTTTCTCTCTCAAGGAATGTTCCTATTCTGGGTACCACATAAAAATTGAATCATACAGTATTTAGTCCTTTCTGTCTGGCTCATTTGACTTAGCATAACTTTTTCAAGGTTCTTCAATGTTGCAGCATGTATCAGAACTTCATTCTTTTTCAAGGCCGAATAAGTCACTGCAGCTGTATACCATATTGTGTTTATGCATTCATCTGCTGATGGATATTCTGAGTTGTTTCTACCTTTTGGGTATTACAAATAATGCTGCTTTAAACATAGGTATACAGGTATCTGAGTTCCTGCTTTCAGTTATTTTGAACATCTATATCAAAGCAGAATTGCTGAATTATATGGTTATACTATATTTAACTTTTTGAGGAATTATCAAGCTGTTTTTCCAAAAAGTCTGGACTATTTAACATTGCAATCAACAATGCATAAGCGTTCCAATTTCTCCCCATCTGCCAGTAATTACTCTCCTATTTGTTTATTTATTTATTTGAGACAGAGTCTTGCTCTGTCACCCAGGCTGGAGTGCAGAGGTGCAGTCTTGACTCATTGCAGCCTCCACCTCCTGGGTTCAATTAATTCTCTTGCCTCAGCCTCCTGAAAAGCTGGGACTTCAGGGGCGTGCCATCATGCCCAGCTAAGTTTTGTATTTTTAGTAGAGACGAGGTTTTATCATGTTGACCAGGATGGTCTCAATCTCCTGACTTCATGATCCACCTGCCTCAGCCCCCAAAGTGCTGGGATTACAGATGTGAGCCATGGCACCTGGCTGCCCTTTTTTTTTTTTTTTTTTTTTTTTTTTAATAATAGCCATCTTAGGTATGAAGCGGTATCTCAGGATTTTTATTTTCATTTCCCTAAAGACTAGTGATGTTGAGCATTCTTTCATATGCTTATCCACCATTTGTACAGTTGGCCCTCCATATCTGTGGACTCTGCATCTGTGGATTCAACCAACCATGAATTGGAAATATTCCAAAACAAATTTCATCTGTACTGAACATGTACAGACTTTTTGTCATTATTCCCTAAACAATACAACACTATTTAGATTTACATTGTGTTAGGTACTATAAGTGATCTAGAGATGACTTAAAGTACACAGAGGGATGTGCATAGGTAATACGCAAATGTTGCATTATTTTATTTAAGGAACTTGAGCTTCCATGGATTTTGGCACCCAAGGTGGTACTGAAACAAATCCCCCACAGATACCAAGTGGATAGTCATTCCCTTGGAATATATCTTCTTTGGAGAAATGTCTATTCAAGTCCTTTGCCCTTTTTTGAACTAAACTGTTTGGGAGTTTTTCGTTCTTGTAGTTTTTTATATATTCCAGATATTAATCATTTAACCGATATACCAGTTGCAACTATTTTATCTTATTCTGTCAATTGTTTTTTCACTTGCACAGCACTTTTAACTCTTGAAAAGTATGCTGTTTCTATTATGTGTATCTCGAAACAACCTTGTAGGATGTATACTGTCTCCACTTTACAGATAAGAAAACTGAAATCCAGTCAAAGAGATCTTAGCACACTCCAGAGTTTCCTCCAAAGATAGTGTTATCCCTTCGAGAGTAACCACAGGCGTCTTTAAAAAGGTCTAGGACTGGTGGGAAAATAAGAGAGCAAATCCCCAACAGAGATTGCGAGCAGAGCCGGGGATCACAGAGTTTTATCTGCCCTCGATACTCTGATTTCCAAAACCCAGCCTCATATTCTATTCTTCAAAGCGCACTGCCAGGTGAACCAACTCCAGTCCCACAGTCCGATCCCAAGGCCACTTCCTGCCACTTCCGCCCTGTCTCCAGTCCGCTGCTAATAAGCTAGCGCATGCGACGTAGGGGTATTTGAGCGCCGGTCGCCCGGGTGAGCCTGCACATCGTGCTTCCGGCGCGGAGATGAACTTCCACAAGCCCCGGCACTTAGTGATGATGTAACTTCCGCTTACTGTGCTGAGTCGGAAGTGGGAACCCTTCGGCCGCTTTGGTTCTGTTGTGTCGTCGCTGCTGGCCCTTCAGGCTCTGGTAAGACTGGAGACAGCCTCAGGGGAGGACGTCGTTGACTTTGCATTGTGATATTTTCTGCTAGTCCAATGCCATTTCAGGCCTGTTCACTGTTACCTTCTCCAAATTATTTCTTCTGTGCTTTCCTAACCAGGGACCTTCTTCTTCTTGAACTTCGACCCTGTGTGATTTGGGATCCCTTACAGTGCCCCAGCTTCTGATGTCTTTCTGTATATTTCTGTCCCCAACTTTGCCAAGCCCCTCCCGGAAGAGGCCGGAGCGCTGTCATTGCATTATCTTATGACTTCATTCTGTAGAACGTGCCCCGGGCGGGTGGATCTCCCTCCTTCCCGCGAATCCCTTATGGAACGTGGAAGGATAAAATATAAAGAGTAGATAGCAAATAGGCAGATGCAGAAAAGATAAGATTAATCGCGAGTCGTAAGCAAACCAGTTGAATGCATACGTCAGGGTGTTGACATTTCTTAAGGCAGGTGATGAGTTCACCACAGATAACTCGTGGGGCACTGTGCTTCATGTTTCCTTGGATTTAGAAGACACTTCTAAAGTTGAGTGACCACACCTCATGAGCTTATATTTGATGAGTCTTCCCTTTAGAATCAGTTTTATGGTCTGAGAGCAAGCATATGTTTAGTCTTGCTGTCATTTACTGTTTCGGCCTCACATGGAAACCTGCAATAAGATGGGATCCAAGAAGGACTGCTGTCTGCTTTTTGACTTGAGATCCTTCTAGGTTGCAGACAAATGTGTTGATGGAATTTGTTGCCATATTAGCATGGCACAATAGTATTGGGTGAAACATATGACAACAAAATGGTTTTTTAATTTCTATTTTAATTTATTTGTCAGGACAGAGACCTTGTGAGAGTATGATTTGATAGAGCTTGATTTTGACAATCCCAGTTTTACAAAGTGTTCCAGATATTCCTGTTTAAAAATAATACCAAGTCTGATGTTAACACATTGTGTGTTCTCGAGAGCTGACAATGATCTTAAAGGATTAGTAATACTGTTAATAAACAAAAGCTTGAATCAGGAGGAGGTGACAGAATTTTGTAGGACAGCTATTATAGATCTTTGCAGCAAGTATATCAAAGTGAAACTTGTTTTCAAGGAGGATACATTTTAAAAGAATCAAATCCAGAAACTTTTAAGGATTGGTAGTTACACCATCCCTAAGTCTGACAACAGGATAGTGTTGCATCTCTGTATGACAGTTGAAAATAGGAGACTATATATATATACACACATACATATACACACACACACACACATATATATACATGTGTTTTGTTTTGTTTTGTTTGAGACAGAGTCTGGCTCTTGCACCCAGGCTCTGCTGTGGAGTGCAATAGCATGATCTCAGCTCACAGCAACCTCCACCTCCTGGTTTAAAGTGATTCTCCTGCCTCAGCGCCCCCTGCCAAGTAGCTGGGATTACAGGCGAACGCCACCATGCCTGGCTAATTTTTGTATTTTTAGTAGAAACGGGGTTTCACCACATTAGCCAGGCTGGTCTCAAACTCCTGACCTCAAGTGATCTGTCCACCTTGGCCTCCCAAAGTGCTGGGATTACAGGCATGACCCACTGTGCCCAGTCCTGAAAAGAGGAGATTATAAATCCCAAGTGACATTGTTGAATATGAAAACAAACAAAATATGAAGTTTCCATTTTATCAGACCTTTAGAGTGGGTGATTATCTAGGTACTCTTATTTACATTGGTAAGTCCATTGAACAGATCTAAACTGGCATCTCCACAAAGGTTCTCATCAAGTGATCAGTCCTTTTTCCTGTAGAAATTTTCTATAAATGACTACACAGTTTTAGCTCTTATTTATGAAAAAAAGCTTGTGTACAGATTTGACGTACATGTGAAAAAGATGAGCTTAGTGAAAGGTAGGTGAGAATCTTTTTGTTTTTCACAGATAGTAGAGATGACAACAGAGTCTTATTTCCATCCACCATTCTACACATCCAAGATACCAAAGAACCAGTGTCTAGCCTGGTAGCTTGACCTTCCACTGCAACCTAAGACAAGTAGTAAAGCCCTTACCTTGAAGTAGGATTGTAGGTGATGCTGTTGATTACAAGAAGTTCAGAAAGAACTACATGTAAGATTGAAGCCATTCATTAACTATTTATTTAGGATTTTGTGATTGTGATGTATAATGCCAGACACAGAAGAAAGAATAATCAGATATGAACATGTACTCAAAAGAGCTTACAGCCTAGCAATGTAGAAGATCTGCTTGGGAATACAATGCAGAAAGTTTAAAATCCTAGCAAAAATATAGGTCAAATGTAGTAGGAAGCTAGCTTCTTTATACAGTACAACAGTATAGCATTGGGAAAGAAGGAAGTAATGCCATTTATGGTGATAAATTCTTTTTATCTCTGTTGATAGTATTTTTTTTTTTTTTTTTTTTTTT